CGCACACTTACATTGGGAAAATATATTAGCTGTTTCGTTTGCCATAGCAACGTGCAATCACCCCTTAAACTCGTTTACAGGATTATTTTCTACGCGTCCAGTTGTAAATCCTTAGCTTGCTTGTTTAAATTATGGGAGGGAATTTATACTGCCAATAAAATTTTCCTTCCTCGAAATCGATGATATCGTTTCGTTTTGGATTACCAACTATCGGTATCGGATTCTTCTTTTTGATTGTCATTAAAAAATTTATCATCGTTGTACCTCGTTAATATCGGGAAGGGAAAGATACGTACGAACTGTAAATTTCAAATATTTATAATGATCGATTTGTAAAACGTAAGAGATGCAAGACAGAAGATGCATACATAATCTTGTGATAGTGCAATATTTATTCTATCAATGATAAGCATAATATTGTAACTTATATTTCCTGCAATAAAAATGTACTAGAGAAACTAAAAATGTTAAAACACGCTTGAAATATTTGAACTTTAATAATGCTTATATAAAAAAAAAGTTACGTAAAACGTTTATTACTATTTTATTTATTGCGTGAAAGTTCTTGCAAAGAAAATAAGAATAATAAAACCTTTTTCAAAATTCGCTCATAAATATATTAACACTAACACAACGAGTGTTTGGATTTCACTGAATCAATCTGTTCTTAACTTAAAAAAAAAAAAAAAAATAAAGAAAGAAATCATATAGTTAAAGGAATAAGAACTTCAATTTTCAAATTCATAGTGATTATGAATTTTTACGATTCTCTTTCATAATTTTCAAAGAAATTTAACTTACAAATACGAAAACAGAAGGTTCAACCTTTAAAATAAGAATAAAGATTATTATACAACTATTTCTCGCAAAGTTACGGCAGTTGAAAAATTAATAACAATTCAATGTATATTATTATTATATTTATATAAAATTTTTCGAGCAAAATCAAAAAGAAACTGACCCAGCCCAAAAACATATTATAAAATCACGATACTCTTTGGAATAGAGGATCGATGGTCAACGTACTCTCTCAAAGACAATTCTTTTCATCGTTCCTTGAAGTCGTCTGAAGCGTTTACGAGCGGGTCAAAGACGGGATCCACGAGTTCCGGCGTGTCCTCGCCGGGGAAACCGTGCTTGTTCCGTGATTCGCGAGATGATTTCGACTTGGCTAGTGTCTGTCACATAAACTCCGCTAGTTTACTGCGGCTCGAGTAAAATAAGTCGGGAGTGAGGGGGATGCGCGGCTTCGTATACGACTCCGCGATGACGGATAGAGAAAAGAACGAGCAGAGGGGACGTGATACGAGGAGGGTGAAGGGGAGGAAAAAATATCGCGAGCTGTAAAGCAAACCGCGTTTACGACCGCCGTTAAATTCGTACCGAGGGACCCCATCTGATAACATTGATGCCGCCAGCTACAGAAAACAGAAGTGATTCTCTTTCCCCGCAATTTCTGATCGAATCGCTATTATATCGACCGGTTATCTTGGAAACAAATTTTTTTTTTTTTTTACGTTTCTTTACACGATCATATGATAAATCGAATATCTTAAAAACAGGTTTCTATTACGTATGCATGTATTCGAATGTATATGCATATGATAGATCTATGATGTATGATGACGTATATACGTATGTCAAAGATCAAGATTTTGAAATTGTATTACAATGATATGATAATCAATGTGTAAGAAATAATATATTTACTGGATGGTGATCGAGGTAGTTTTGCTTCTCCAGAAATTTATAGAATGTATCAATATATGATAATTAAAATTTCTTAGAAGATATATTTCGAAAGTATCTATTGTGAAAGTAAAAATTGAAATTTGTTGATCTAAATTTCTTAAATTTCTCTAGGAAGAAATACAATTTGTGTTATTTGCGCGAGATGCATTTATTTTTTAATATATATAATATCGAATAACTGCGTTTCCAATAGCAAATTTTAATCATTTCTGCTTCTAATATCTATAAGTAAAATTTGAAAAAAATAAAAGTTGCTGCAAATCTGACAAATTTATCAAAATATCAAAAGAAACATTCGATTCTCAATTAGGATGCAGATAGCGTCGCCTCTCCTTTTTGTTTTCTGTATCTCGCATTCCGGAAGAAGATGCCAGCTTGGTTATATCTTTTATAGCAGCGAATTTATTGACTCTGTTCCCTCTTTAAACAAAGCATCAATGTCATTTATAAACGAGACGAGATTGACCTATCGTATCTCCCTGCAAAATCTTTCGGTGAAGTAGCATCGTTAGGGCTTTAAACTTGGCCACAATCCAACGATACTCTTGTTTGGCGGACATGATTCACCATTTCTATGGCGGGTACAACGTCATCCTAACTTCTCTTCGTTTGCACCGCCATTTCTTCGCTATATTCTAAATACTGCTATATTCTAATACCAAATTTCTTATTTCTATTCCTTAAAATAATTATACCGAGTTGCAGGGACCAAAAGATTTTCCAGGAAGTAAACCATTGACATACATTTCCATATAATATAACATAAACTACATAATATTTTCCTTTTCTTATGAAAATATACTGTGTGTAATAACTTTAATATAATGATTAATACGAGGAATAAAAATCAAAGTTTATATACATAAATACATATCAAATATCATTGCCACAGAATTATTCTCGTAATAGTTTTTCATTTCGTCTATGTTTTCTCTTTCTATGAATCATCGCTTTATTAAAATTAAAAAGAAGGAGAAGAAGAAAAAGAAGAATAGTTAAAGCGTAATTCTCATACAATTTTTTCGTCTCCATAAAAGGAAATTGAATGAACCGATTTAAAATTATGAATACGAATCGTCTCCAAAATTTCTCAAGAAACAATTGTACATTATATAACTATATATAATTGTCGAAACGATTTTACAATTTCTCATCATGGAACACATTCCATCGAAAATGGAAGGGAAACGATCAGCCAAGAATCCCGACAAAGTGGAGGTAATCACCCAACGAGGGGTGGCCGGACGACTCGTAAATTCGATTCTTTATGGTGTCGTCATCGTTAAAACCGAGATCGTACCTTTAAACTCCCGTGTGGAACGGAGGTTCATAGGAAGCGGTCGCTTTGATGAAATTGGTCTGAAAAATCGTTTCAAAAATTCCTCGCTAGGAATGGATAGGGTAAATAAGCATAATTTCGCGGTTTGATTCTGCCTCTTCGAAATTTCTCTTCGCATATTCGCTGTCTTCAAAAATTTGTGAAATGGGATTTCATTGAATTTAATAAGGGAACAATTGCATTTAATTATTGGAATAATGTGATATTATTCGATAAATTAGAAGAATCGACATCCTTCATTTAAATTCATTGCAAATTGTGTATTTTTGTTTAAATCTTGGAATATTCCGATATTATATTTAATTTGTTGCGTGTACTTCTTTTCTATTGTGTGGAAAATAAAAGTACGTAGTATGATTCTGAAACGAATGACGTTAAAAAGTTTTGTCGACAAAGTTTTACTGTTTTAAAGAAACATCTAGATATATCAAGATATTTTACGATACACCTTTTATTCTCGAAATGAAACTTTATGATTTTTCATTATATTGATATAAAGTAAAAAATATAGATATACTGACATGTACAACTTTTTTGCATTGACGATTTCGTACAAATCTTTTCAATCAGTGCTTAAATACGATAGAGCATTGTTTTTTGGGGAAGAAAAGTTTTAAGAATAATCGTGAAAATTGTTAAGAAAGTAAATAACTTCTTGAGAGAACGAACGTAAAATCAGGAAAAAGAAGAGAGGGACGGAAAAAGGAAATATACTTTGCTGATTCTAAGTGTTGCGGTCCAACTGGCTTTCGAATGGAATGGCATTTTATAGGTTAGAATCTGTTTTATGTGTGCCGGATTTGCGATTACGACTTTGGCTTCGAACGTTCCAGACGAAAGAAGGGTGTCAGGGGAGAAAGAGAGAATAGCGAAGGAGCGAGAAAAGTGAGATAGATTATTATGTCTTAAAATGAAAACTAATCCCCAGATTTCCGCCGGAAATTCGTATTAGTTTCTTCAAGTATTGGTATCGTTTATTATGACTTCTATCACATAGACGTATAATTTATATGAGATTTTTTTTTTAATTTTGACTTTATTTATTATAGATTGAAATACATTATAAAATGTGATAGAGAATTTTTACTTTATATAAAAAGTATAGATAAAGAAAGAAAAAAAATCTATACGTACGAATGTATTTTGATCATTTCGATTGCTAATTTTCTATTGAAAATTTAAATTTCTTTAGATATTTTTGAATGTAAATAAATTTTAACATATTTATACCCTCCAAAGTTTTTTTTCAATTCAAATAATGAACATTATTATATTATATATCATGGCAGAAATTGTTCAAAAATTTATGCATGATTATTTATCTGATATAATTTATAAAAATTTTATCTTGTTAAATAAGCATTGACCACCTAGAATAGATATCCTGTATACTCTAAAGATTAAGACTATGCAAACTATGCAAACAGAGCCGGTTCTAATGGATAGTAATACTACTATACCTCTGTTAATTCCAATTATTGAGATAACTGCTCACGACTGCATTAATAAAAATATTAAAAAATATTTTAAATCATCCCATAAGTAATATCTTTTTTAAAAACCCAATAAGAATCATTTATGATAAATTTTTAAAACAAAATTAAAGATTCTAGTTTCTAATGAGAAATAAATTCTACAATAAATCACGTTCATCGTGTCTAATCTACCATTAAAGAGTTTATTTCGCTTCTTTTTTTACTTTTTAAACACAAAAATCTTTAAAAATATGAACCACAAAAATTCTCTAATTCAAAAGACGAAAGATCGATCGAAACTAAAAATTTTTCTCTATCGAAATTAGACTTTTAAAAAATTATTTATACGAATAATGTAATAATTCTAGTGACTGATCCTAGAATCGACTCTGTGTGCAAAGTTTATACGTGAAATTATGCGAAAAAAGACTTACCGAGGCTACGTATGTTTCGGAGGGCCATCTGGGCTGGACGGTAGTCTGGTAGCCGGTATATGAGCATTCTCGGGATGAAGAAACGGCCTGAAATGGATAGGATTCGGGGGTGGTCCAACCCCTATGAAGGGCACATCACCCTCGTATGTCGGAGGTCCCGTTGGCGGCCCCGTGGGTGCAGCACATGCCGCGGTGCAGCGGAACGCACGACTAGGTTGGGACATTCTGATTGCTTTCAAGAAGTGCATGTTACGGATTTCGTTGCTAGCTGTTGAAGGAAACAAACAAATAAATTCAACGTTAGATTATTTTTCATAGATCTCTGCTATTCTACGATTTCGTATAGAGACGAAATAAATGAAAGCTACGTAAAAATTAACGAAACGATTCTATTAATATTGTTGGATGTTAATAAAAACGATTAAGAGACGAATTATATGATTAATATCAGAATTACCGAATTCAATTTAAAAATATATGTATAGTTTATAATAATCGTAATATAGATGATTAAAATATTATAATCATAATTATTTACGTATATTATATTTAAAAGAATATTAGATAATTATTCTAATGTTTATAACGATATAAAAATATGAAAAAAAAATGTATACAATTTTACTTGTATTTTCTTTGTAGAATTTTGTATTTGACTTTTACTTCTTTAATTTACTTAGAATTAAAAAATTATAAATAAGGAAAGATTAAGGGGAGAAATGTTTTAACAAAATATCTATATAATGAATAAGTGAATAATGTTAAACTAAATTATACATAGATATATTAATAATCAATCCTATCAGTTTGGTTACTGGTTGGCTCGTAAGTAACACACTAAATTATACGCGTCTTGTAATTAAGTTACACTGGCAATTATATCTCAAGTCCATATAAGTATTATATATATCCCTGTATCATAAATACAAATTAAATTTCCATAACTAAACGTTATATGTATGAGTAATAAACGAACATACGAACGAAAAGATCAATTAACATCGCCTTCGTGATCATTATCTTTTTCTCCATCGCATCCAGACACGATTGTTATAAAAATGCTTCAGCAATTATCAATGTTTTTTTTTGAATATCAAGTAGACAGAAAATAAAGCAAGTATCGTATAAATACGTTCATCGACAAAATGGCCACGTCATTGAAAGGAAACTAGAAGCACGAGATGGGTGGGAATTGCTGTTATCAATCGAACCGTCGTTCTCGACGCATGGATATAAGCAACGAGGGATCATCCCAAAATGGGGATTATAGGAACAAAGCACCCTAAATTCAGCCGGGTTACAGCCAATAGGAATTCATGTATCAAAATGGCGTGGTTCTCAAGGCGTGGTTTCTATAATACATATGTATACATAATATGCATTGCTCGAAAGATTACATTTTGAAGGAATGCAAGCGTGACTGGATGTGATTTTGATGGAATATTCATATATAATTATATATTCATACATATACATTCATAAAATAAAATAAAAAAAAAGCGAATTTACACATTAAAAATAAAGAAGCGTGTTAAGTTTAAATATATCATATCTAAGAGAGGATTATACGTAGTAATTCCATACGTGGATAAGTAAAGGAGAATATTTTTCTTTCCCTTATACGGTAATCCTTTCAGTTGTACACGGTAGTTTCACACAGAAACTTCGAAAGACCTTGTTTACCTCGTGTAAGTGGTTTCGTGCTCATTTGCTTAATTGCCGTTCTTTTTTTTTAAATATAGTCATTTTCATATCAGTCAAGGTAATTAACAGATTATGTACACTCATCGTACACGTTTCGTAGAACCGATAAATTTAGAGAAAGAGCGTGTCTTTCTCATGCATTTTCATGGTATCTTTCTTTATCTAAATATTTTACGTTGGAATTTTATATAGGTATTTATACTCTTATTTATATCATAATTAATTGTATCGTATACTCCAGAAATACAGAATAGCGTTTGAAAAAATGTTTTGAAATATTAGAGAATATAAGATTGGAAAATATTATAAGATATATTTCTACGTGTTCGAATATTTGATTTTTCTAAAGAATTATCTATTCAATTCTTTCATCATTACGATTATTATTTAAATAAGACGTAAAAATTCTGCTGTCTCTTGTAGTGAAAAGATTAACTTCAAACGAATATGAATATTAACAAAATATAGCAGAGAAACTGATTTCAAATTTTTAAGACTGATAATATATAAGTACAAGATGCATTAGACTTTTGATCTTTTCTTATCCTATCTTCGTTAACAAAATGAACGATTGGACGCACAATTAATCGCCGCTTTGATCACGATGCGATTGGCGAGCAAAAAAGATTTGCAGAAAATGAAAAATATTCAACACGATGTGGTCGAACGTCAGAAGATTCTTTTCATTTTGCGTTCCTCAAGGCTCTGCGGTTAGTGGATCTTGGTGAGTCATCGAGCTTCCTGTCAGATTTCAATATTTCTGGGCCGATTACGATGCGCCGGTGAAATCGATTGGATCAATTTCTTTTTCTTCTTTTTTCGTCCTGATTATTAAGTTTTCTCGAAGCCGAAATATATTGGCATGGCCACGACTAAATTTCTTTTACTTTCTTTGCTATAAACAGGTTTTTGTCACTTTTAGTACGTTTTGATATGAACTTTCTATAAGAAAAGTTTGTTTATTTGCTTTTTTTTTGTATGATTATTTAAATTTTTGTAGTAAAGAAAGAAAGAGACAAAATAATCTAAAATAAAAGATAGATACGATTTTTCAATATATATTTAAACACTATTTTTTTATTTAATTTTTATATAATATTTCTTATCATTTTATCTTGAAATAAAAGATAATTTTCTTTTTTTATAATATATATTTTTAATTATGATTTTGTCTTTTGTTTCAATGGCATTATTGTATGGTAAAGTACTTACTATTAGTATAGATGTCTGATCAGAAACGACATTCACTACTTTCTATCGTTTTACAGAAGACTAGAGACATCTATTAGAGTTTCAATGTAACACAATTTATTATTCATAGGCTAGATATGCTTTTGATACAATTTTGTTTATAAATTATGTTTTTATCTTGTCCAACATTAATCTGTTTATTAAAATAATATTAATTACAACGAAGAAGAAATTTACAAGTGAAAAAAATAAGAATAATCAATTGTAATACATAAATATATTCAAAATTTATTCTGAATTCAAATAATTATCACAAAAATTTTATATTTCTTTGTATTCTAACTAATGAAAGTTAATTTTCAATTTAATGGATCATTTATAATCGTTAAATTTGGCAAATAGAAGGATTTTTATTCACTTTTATTTTTTATATTCTTATCTATAATTGATCTTATTAATATTAAAAAAATAACATTATGGTATTTCGTTATTGATATTATTTTGATTTATAAAACGTAAAAAACATAAAAAAAGTGCAGCCTATTTTACAATTTATAATTTATCTAAAAAATTAAGAAAGCAGTTAATATTCTAAAAAAATTGAATAAAAATTTGCAATTGGGAAAAGAGAGAATTGATCGAAACCACATAATCGAGAAGTTGAAAACTGAGCTGCATAATACAGGTTGTGCGTACCAAGATAAAAAAGACCTTGAATAACATAGTGCAGTTTCATCCGCATGATGTTACTGCGTTAAATTTGGCATAAATGCATAATTTAATATTTCAAGTTATAAATGCAAATTTAAATAAGCAATAAAATTTCTATCTTTATATTTTTTATATTCAAATATGCTGAACTTTAAGATTTGTTTTAAATATAATTTCAATTATATCTTTCTCTATTTATTCTCTTTTTGTTAAATGAATATTATATGAGAATATTAAATAAAAAATATCGATTTTTCCAAAGAGAGAATTTGAAGAAAATAAATTATGTATTATAATATGACAATTGAGAAATGTCGATATGAAATTTGAAAAATTTAATAAAAAAATTGAAAATTAAATAAATGTAGCAAACAGAAAGGTGCATTTTATCACGATAATGATAAGCATACTCATACCACAATGACTTGAATAAGTGAGCAAGAAATTTGAATGGGAGATTCTACCACACCCTTCATGAGAAGCAAATCAAACAAACTATAAATAACTTTATAAAATCACTGGTGAAGTGAACAAGAAAGGATCGTAGAATTAAATTTCTGCAGCCAGATAATATTTTGTAATTTACCAAATATATCTTACATAATATAAAAATATAAAAATATAAAAATTATTCAATCTAATAAGTTAATAAGCTTATGCATCATTTATATTTTCTATTAGAAATTATGAATAATAAAAAAAATTCCACCGTAATACATAATATATGTTCTACCACTTGAGGTACTATGTCACTGGATTACGAGGACTATAAGCTTTTATCTTACAGATTTCTGATGTAGGACAAAGACTTCTTATGTCAATCATATTTATTTTAAGTAATGTCAATTTAAATCTAATATTTCTTAAAAAAAAATTATTTTTTCTAAAATTACATCTTATATATAATTTCATAATATATTGAATAAAAATTGAAAAGACAAGATATTGCACAGTATTTTGACAAGATTTAAAATTGCAAAGTAGAAGAATAGAATAATAATATATTATTTGTTGTATTTACCATCAATTATTATCTCCAACGAATTCAAAAAAGCTAAAAATTCTAACAATATCATAATATCTACCCCTTTTTCGCTAAATCCCTTAATTTCTACATCGAATCAGGACAAAAGTTCGTTCTTCTCCAGTTTGTCCTCCACACACCATTCCATTCGCCGGTGCTTCTCGAATGGTTTATTCGAAACTCTGGGTCGGCCAGATGAATCTGACATCCTCTAAAGCCGGGCATAAAAATGCTGCTCGACTCGTAAATTATATTTAATAGCGGTTGCTTCGCATACACGCGTTCGTTAGTTGATTCTGGTCTGGCGTCGCGACTGTTGCACTCTTATCGTTCATTTAAATTATTTATTGGGCGAACGATAATTCATAATTAAGTCCTCGATGAAAAATAATCGGCCGTCCGTCCATCGATCGTGATTCAGTGCTACCAGAATGAATCGTAATTCTAGAGTGCGCCTTCTAATTATACGTTAAAATACATCTACTTGCTTATCAACTTACTGATTCTTCTGCCTCGAAGACATTGTTGGACAATGAGCGAGAGATATATATTTGAATTATTATCGTTAAGACGAATTGTATCGTAAGTATATGTGTGTGTGTGTGTGTGTATGTATGATCATTTTAATCGTTTGAAAT